TGTGCGGGTTATTTGCGTAGGGAGAACAGAACCTAGCTGTATGGTTACATTAGGGGAACAGAACCAAGTTATATAACTATACAAGGTAACAGAATCTGGGTATATAGTTAAATGGAACAGAACCTAGCTATATATTGCAACATAGAAAGTGGATGTCATGAAGTAATGTGGTGCGTCAGCCTGCGTCTTGAGACTTCAGTAGAACAAGAACATCGTCAAGCACTCCACTAAGACGTCAATAACTAAATTGGCTTGTGAGTTGGAGTTACCATTACGTGAACTTACCTGAGAATTATCATCTCTCAGAATGGGATATCCCTCATAGGAAAAATAGTATTTATGGCGCTGCTACCATTGTAGACCCCTCAAGGAAAGTTTCTTGATGCTGGTGAGGGGCTCTTGATCTAGGGAATTGGATCTGTGCTCCAGTTCCCCGAATTGAGCCTGAATGCCTTCCACATCCCCCCCCCCCAGGCGCTGTATAATCCTACGGGTTTAGAGTTTCCCCTTGATTATTATAATACTATTATAGAGGAAGACTGGAATACTGTTATGCGGAACAAGCCACATGGGGATGAAAAGTCTTTAGCTCTAGATCTTTCGTACTCTCGTGCGTCGTCAGGAGCTATGCAGTGTTGCAAGACAGCAACAGATAGGGGGGGAAATTCTCTTGAGACAATCAGAAGGTATCAGTAGTCACCCATGTCACTCTGTGATATGGGTTGCCATGTGTTTACATCACTGCTGTAGCCTTGTATCCCTGACACTGCTGCTGTTTCCTGTGTTTCCTGACACGGGTTGTATACATATGATGACCCTCCACTTGAGCTTTTGGTGATCTGACCGAGGCCTTCCGCTGGGTTACCAGTCCACCCCTTTGAAAATTAAGGTTATAAGTATAACCATATATGTACTAAGTTGAGCAGATATGTGTGCAACACTTTGGGGTCTTGAAACGTTTCGCCCCCACTGCAAGATTACTCAGTCTAGTATAACACCGGAGACTAGTAATTTTGAGGTGGTCAGTCCCTCAGCCTGAAGTAGACATACGGCCCAGACCTTACTGGAGCAGAAGTAAGGTGCAGCAGCTGGATGTGATGTCACAGGTGAGCGTGGCACACCGGTGGAAGTAGATCATGATAATATCTATTTCTACAAGTACATGTACAAGGTATACAGGCCTAGTTGACATTAATGACGTACTGCTGTATAGAAAGCCCCTTGTTATGAAAAACATTCCGGGTAAATTACCCCTCAAGGAAGGTTTCTTGATGTTGGTGAGGGGCTCTTGATTTAGGGAATTGGATCTGTGCTCCAGTTCCCCGAATTAAGCATAAATGCCTTCCACATCCCCCCCCAGGCGCTGTATAATCGTCCGGGTTTAGCGCTTCCCCCTTGATTATAATAAATCCGGGTAAATTAGGCCAGTTTTGTCCAGGGATGCGACCCACACCAGTCGACTAACACCCAGAGCAGCTGAAGGCTCACCCTGTACCAAGGTGTCACCGTGCCAAGATACCATGGTGTCACCGTGCCAGGATACCATGGTGTCACCGTGCCAAGATACCATGGTGTCACCGTGCCAGGATACCATGGTGTCACCGTGCCAAGATACCATGGTGTCACCGTGCCAGGATACCATGGTGTCACTGTGCCAAGCTACCATGGTGTCACCGTGCCAGGATACCATGGTGTCACCGTGCCAAGATACCAAGGTGTCACCGTGCCAAGATACCATGGTGTCACCGTGTCAAGATACCATGGTGTCACCGTGCCAGGATACCATGGTGTCACCGTGCCAAGATAACAAGGTGTCACCGTGCCAAGATACCATGGTGTCACCGTGTCAAGATACCATGGTGTCACCGTGCCAGGATACCATGGTGTCACCGTGCCAAGATACCAAGGTGTCACCGTGCCAAGATACCATGGTGTCACCGTGTCAAGATACCATGGTGTCACCGTGCCAGGATACCATGGTGTCACCGTGCCAAGATACCAAGGTTGTCACCGTGCCAAGATACCATGGTGTCACCGTGTCAAGATACCATGGTGTCACCGTGCCAGGATACCATGGTGTCACCGTGCCAAGATACCAAGGTGTCACCGTGCCAAATTACCATGGTGTCACCGTGCCAAGATACCATGGTGTCACCGTGCCAAATTACCATGGTGTCACCGTGCCAGGATACCATGGTGTCACCGTGCCAAGATACCATGGTGTCACCGTGCCAAGATACCATGGTGTCACCGTGCCAAGATACCATGATGTCACCGTGTCAAGATACCACGGTGTCACCGTGCCAGGATACCATGGTGTCACCGTGCCAAGATACCATGGTGTCACCGTGCCAAATTACCATGGTGTCACCGTGCCAGGATACCATGGTGTCACCGTGCCAAGCTACCATGGTGTCACTGTGCCACGATACCATGGTGTCACCGTGCCAAGTTACCATGGTGTCACCGTGCCAGGATACCATGGTGTCACCGTGCCAGGATACCATGGTGTCACCGTGCCAAGTTACCATGGTGTCACCGTGCCAGGATACCATGGTGTCACCGTGCCAAGATACCATGGTGTCACCGTGCCAAGATACCATCTTGTCACCGTGCCAAGATACCATGGTGTCACCGTGCCAAGATACCATGGTGTCACCGTGCCAAGATACCATCTTGTCACCGTGCCAAGATACCATGGTGTCACCGTGCCAAGATACCATGGTGTCACCGTGCCAAGATACGATGGTGCCACCGTGCCAAAATACCATGGTGCCACCGTGCCAAGATACCATGGTTCCACCGTGCCAAGATACCATGGTGTCACGGTGCCAAGATACCATGGTGTCACGGTGCCAAAATACCATGGTGCCACCGTGCCAAGATACCATGGTGTCACGGTGCTAAAATACCATGGTGCCACCGTGCCAAGATACCATAGTGTCACCGTGGTATCTTGGCACAGGAGCTGTTGAATATGTTGTTATCTGTGGTGTTGAGTGAAGATGTGTTACGTAGTGTTGAGTGAGGATGTGTTGTTATCTGTAGTGTTGAGTGAGGATGTGTTGTTCTCTATAGTGTTGAGTGAGGATGTGTTGTTATCTATAGTGTTGAGTGAGGATGTGTTGTTATCTATAGTGTTGAGTGAGGATGTGTTGTTATCTATAGTGTTGAGTGAGGATGTGTTGTTCTCTATAGTTTTTGAGTGAGGATGTGTTATATAGTGTTGAGTGAGGATGTGTTGTTATCTGTAGTGTGAGTGAGGATGTGTTGTTATCTATAGTGTTGAGTGAGGATGTGTTATATAGTGTTGAGTGAGGATGTGTTGTTATCTGTAGTGTTGAGTGAGGATGTGTTGTGTTATCTGTAGTGTTGAGTGAGGATGTGTTGTTCTCTATAGTGTTGAGTGAGGATGTGTTGTTATCTATAGTGTTGAGTGAGGATGTGTTATATAGTGTTGAGTGAGGATGTGTTGTTATCTGTAGTGTTGAGTGAGGATGTGTTGTTATCTGTAGTGTTGAGTGAGGATGTGTTATATAGTGTTGAGTGAGGATGTGTTGTTATCTGTATGTTGAGTGAGGATGTGTTGTTATCTGTAGTGTTGAGTGAGGATGTGTTATATAGTGTTGAGTGAGGATGTGTTGTTATCTGTAGTGTTGAGTGAGGATGTGTTGTTATCTGTAGTGTTGAGTGAGGATGTTTGTTATCTGTATGTTGAGTGAGGATGTGTTATATAGTGTTGAGTGAGGATGTGTTGTTATCTGTAGTGTTGAGTGAGGATGTGTTGTTATCTGTAGTGTTGAGTGAGGATGTGTTGTTATCTGTAGTGTTGAGTGAGGATGTGTTGTTATCTGTAGTGTTGAGTGAGGATGTGTTGTTATCTGTAGTGTTGAGTGAGGATGTGTTGTTATCTGTAGTGTTGAGTGAGGATGTGTTGTTATCTCTGGTGTTGCGTGAATGACGTGCAATGCGAAAGTGTAACGAGGATATTAAACGAGACAGTCTAATGATTAGCGTTGATTGACCTTGAGTATTCCCTCTCTAGAAACTACCTGGGTTTAACCCTTAGTCTTGATTGTAATAATAATAATAATAGAGCAGTACCTTGATATTGGCGAGGGGCTCTTGATTCTTCCGTATTTCCTAGACGCTGTACGTAATAATAATAATGCGTTGGACCAGGTTTGTTAAGCAAATACAACTGCTTAATTAACACTAAATTTTGCAATAACTATGTTGCAGGTGGCCTTATTATATTGCAGGTGCCTTTATTAGTGTTGACGTAGGGGTGGTTGACGAGCGGCGCTGATTAACCAGGTTATTATTACCTGCCAAATGCAGCCATGGCCGGACAAGACAACACAGACTAGCCCAGACGACCCATGACCATTCCGGCCAGTTGCATACAAGGCCGGACGATGCTAGGCAGTCCCAGACAATTTCTGATAAGTCCAGGCGAGTCCAGACTAGCCTATTCCAGGGTGTACCTAACATCAAGGTGCTGATAGCTGGTCTCCAGTGTTTGATTACATCAAGTGCTGATAGCTGGTCTCCAGTGATTTATTACATCAAGTGCTGATAGCTGGTCTCCAGTGTTTGATTACATCAAGTGCTGATAGCTGGTCTCCAGTGATTTATTACATCAAGTACTGATAGCTGACATCCAATGATTGATTACATAAAGTGCTGATAGCTGGCCTCTAGCGATTCATTACATAAAGTGTTGATAGTTGGCCTTGAGTGACTGAAGACGTAACAAGGTGCTGATAGTTTGCCTACAGTGGCTGATGCGTGTCTCTGCGTTGCAAATCCCTCTGCATTGCAAGCCCCTCACCAGCATCAAGGAACATCCCTCAAGGGAGGTTCCTTGATGCTGGTAAGGGGCTCTTGATCTAGGGAATTAAACCAAAATGCCTTCCATGCCCTCCCCCCCCACAAGCACTGTATAATCCGTACGGGTTTAGAGCTCCCCATAATAATAATAATTGTTTGCGTTGCAG